GTTGTCGGAGCTGCCCCCATCCAGGGCAAGTGGGGAGTATTCCATCACTCTCCTGACCTGTGCCTTGTCGATGGTGGGACAGGCTTTGGGGTGGAGTCAGGATGGGAGTTACTCGCTGCAGGATTCCCAGCCTCTGACCTGCTCTTGTCGCCGCTGTGTTTATATGGTGGGTCCAGTTCAGTTCCATTCAATGGTGCGCCCAGGATGTCAGCATTGGCATGAACGGTAACAACATTCAGTATCAAGGAGCAATGTTTAGATTCACTCTAATTGGAGACATTCATTGCCTTGGACTTGTTAGTTCTGAATGTTACTTGCCACTTCTCAGCCCTAGCCTGGGCATTGTCCAGGTCTTGCTGCATTTAAAAGAGAGTGCTGGAGAAACTCAGCAGGTCTGGTGGCATCCGTTGAGAGAAAAATGGAGTTAATATTTCAAATCCCGTGGTCCTTTGTCAGACTGCAAAAAGGCCCCTGGACGCAAAACATTAAATCTCTCTTTTCCCCCAACAGATTCTGCCAGACCTGCTGAATTTCTCCAGCATTCTCTGTTTTGTTTTTGCTTCAGATTTCCAATGTCTTCACTTTATCTTTTGCTGCATTTGTACACAGACTGCCTCAGAATCTGATCAGTCATTAAAAAGTGCTGAATATTGTGCAATCACCAGTGAACATCCCCATGAGTGCGGGGAGAAGGTCATTGATGAAGCAGCTGAAGATGTTTCGAGTCTAGGACCTGAAGTCTTCTAGGCCAGGAAAGCTGAGTTCAATCCTACCTAACGGGTGGCACGGTGGCTCAGTGGTTAGCACTGCTGCCTCACAGCACCAGGGACCCGGGTTCGATTCCACCCTCGGGTAACTGTCTGTGTGGAGTTTGCACATTCTCCCCGTATCGTGTGGGTTTCCTCCCACAGTCCAAAGATGTGCAGATTAGGGTGGATTGGCCATGCTAAATTGCCCATAATGTTCATGGATGTGTAGATTAGGTGTGTTATAAGGGGATGGGTCTGGGTGGGATGCTCTGAAGGTCAGTATGGACTTGTTGGGCCGAAGGGCCTTTTTCCACACTGTAGGGATTCTCTGATCTACCCCAAAAAAGAGTGACATAGCACCTATGATTAGACAATATCTGCCCCTGAGAAACTTCTGCAGAGATGGCTTTGAGCCAGAGGCAACTGACCTCCAGCAACTTCCAATGCGCCAGGTATGACCCCATCCATTGGAGAGTTCACCCCCGACCCCTAGTGATTCCCAGTTTTGTTGGGGCTCCTTGATGCCACACTCTGTCCAATGTGGCCTTCATGTCAAGGGCTGTCACTCTCACCGTCGCCTCTGGAACTAAGCTCTTTCGGCCATGTTTGAGCCAAGGCCATAATGAGGTGGCTCTGGAACCCAAACTGGGCGTCACTGAGCAGAGATAGTAGGAACTGCTGATGCTGGAGTCTGAGGTAACAAGGTGCAGCGTTGGATGAACACAGCAGGCCAGGCAGCATCAGAGGAGCAGGAAAGCTGACGTTTCGGGTCTGGACCCTTCCTCAGAGCAGGTTGTTGTTGCTTGGTAGCACCAATTGCAAAATATGGTGTGCGTTTGTGTGCTGCAATTCAATCAAATAGAAGCAATTAAATTAGGCAATATTGAAACGTGGTTGAAATACATCACTTTTTCTTCCCCTATTTTAGTTTCATTTCCTTATTAAGCAATGGGTTCTTCCCAATACATTTAAACCCTGCAAAAGGCCAATCACACTTCCTTAGTCCAAAACAAAAACTGGTATCACTGAAACAGCAACAACATCAAAAAAAGTTAATTCCTTTGTTTAATTCGTTCACGGGATGTGGGTGTCATTGACTGCGCCAACACTAATTTCCCTTTTGTCTACCCAATTTATAAAATGTCTCAGCTAAATAGTAGGTTTGCCATGTAAAAATATTGAAGGAAGAAAGAGAGAAGTGGGCTGAAAAAATGGCAGATGCAGTTCAAAGAGATATAGAGCTGTACAGCATGGAAACAGACCTTTCGGTCCAACTTGTCCATGCCGACCAGATATCCTAAATTAATCTAGTCCCCATTTGCCAGCATTTGGCCCATATCCCTCTAAACCCTTCCTATTCGTATACCCATCCAGATGCCTTTTAAATGTTGTCATTGTACCAGCCTCCACCACTTCCTCTGGCAGCTCGTTCCATACACGCACCACCCTCTGCGTGAAAAAGTTGCCCCTCAGGTTCCTTTTTTAAATCATTCCCCTCTCACCTTAAACCTATGCCCCTCTGGTTTTGAACTCCCCTACCCTGGGGAAAAAGTCCTTGTTTGTTCACCCTATCCATGTTCCTGATGATTTTAAAAACTCCTATAAGGTCACCAGTTCAGATAAATGCAAGTTATATCATTTTGGTAAAACGAACAAGGGAAAGACTTATACAATTAAAAGTAGGGCCTTGCATAATGTTATAGAACAGAGAGACCTAGGGGTTCAGGTACATAATTCTTTGAAGTTTGCAT